TCACACGCCCTCCCGTTAGAGAGACTCGACGGTACCAGACAAACCACTCCCGGCAATGCCAAAGGCAAGCTAGCAAATGGAAAGACATGGTGCCGCCGGATCCGCTACGTCGGGCGCAAATAGAAAAGTTAACCGGCAAAATCGATAGGGACCAAGGCTCACAATTTTTCCGACTGCGAAATACTGCCAAAACGCACTTCCGAAGATCAAGATCACGCCTCTAAGTCTGCCAAACAGGATGCCACGGGCTACGGAAACCCCAAGGAGAGCGTGGACAGAATTACCCGACATGCCGAAAAACTTCCATGGGAAAAGGCTGCACCTAGTCACAATCCAATGGGACTTCCGCCGCTTCGTGCTGCGGATATAGCCCAAAAGGCTTAAGCTAGCGCCACATCCTCCTTCCATAAATAACGGGTCACACAAGAATCCCAGGAACGTCCGAGGGATGCACGCAACGACCCAACTCGGCACTGTGAGGCCAGACCGGCACCTCAACAGCACACACTTTTCCGAGGGACGAGGCAACAGGAGACGAGTTGTTGATTGCTTCAACCATGGCCGTGCCTTGGCTTCGACCGTGTTGAACCCCCACAGAGTGCACTTCCGGATGTTTGGGAACTTGCCCCTCAGTGCTACGGATATGCCACTGAAGGGAACGCGTAGACCCACATCCTTCCGTGCAGAACGGGTCACACTAGAAGCCTCGGCGCGTCCGAGGGATGCCAACAGCTACCCATCTCGGCACTGCGAGGCCAGGCCGGCACCTCAACAGAGCACACTTTTCCGAGGGACAAGGCGACAGGAGAGACGTTGTTGGTTGCGTCAAACACGGCCGCACCTTGGCATCAACCATGATGAACCGCCCATGGTGCACTTCCGGATGATTGGGAACTTGCCCCTTCGTGCTAAGGATATGCCCGTGGAGGCTTCACCTAGCGCCACAACCTTCCGTGCGGAACGGGTCACACTGGATGCCTCGGCACGTCCGAGGGATGGCCGCAACTACCCACTGTGATGCCAGACCGGCACCTCGACCAAAGGGACGAAGGCATCAAGATTTTTGACTTGGACCTTGAGGAACAAGCAAAGAACTTGCTGCACGCCAAATGTGTCATGGTGCCGGATAAGCTCACTACGAGATGCCCACATTTTTCCGTTGGACCAGCCAGAACCGGGACACGTACGACCTGGATTCGGCATGGACTATTTTTGACTCGGTCGAATTTCCCACATCGCCATGGAAAAACGCACCAGCATGCTTGGGAAAGCTTGCTGGGGCGCTGGGAGGGAGCCCCATGGCACGCCATCCTGACCCACCAAGGTGCGTGGGCAGGCAGGCAGCTCCCCCCTATAGTAGGCTAATATGCAAAAACCCGCTCTCCAGCACCGGACATCCTTTTTTCTGGGGAGACATACTCGGTTTTTTTGAGGCTACGGGTCGAAGTTTGACCTGATTTTTAGCACAAGTGCTTATAAAAAGTGGGAGCAAGTGGTCCACAAAGTTTCACGATTTTTCTCCGAGCCGATACTTTTTCATGATTTTCCTAGCCGACGAGCTTTATGTCATTCCCGAAAATTAGAAAATGGGTGTGGACCATGTTTCTTGAGCTGTTCTATTGCAGGAGTTCCAGGAATATTATTCATAAACATTTCCCAGAGTTACGTCCATGTAAGGTCGAGGCATTTACCTCAAATGATTTTCAACCGACGTGCGGCACAATCCATGATGCCCTGACGGACACACGTGCCATGGCTTGGGTGAGTGTGCCATAGGCTAGGCCACGCACCACATGAATAAGGGACTATGTGTGTATCGTGGACTTTGCACCAATTCGACTAATCGCACACACAAGTTGCGGATCCACAACCCTCGAAGAGCAAAGTGGAAAACCAAAAATTCAAGATATCAATCTTGATGAGGCAAGTGATTCCAGATGCAACACATGAATAAGGGACTGCGTGAATTCCTAAACTCTGAAGGGTGAGCCAGATCAGACCCCCCAACACACTTCTAAGAGTCACAAGCCAACAAGCAACACAGTGTCACATGCCCTTATCTTTAACCAAACCTGCACTGAGAGGCCACAATCAAGACCCTCGCTTCCGCCATGGGAACCACCCACAACACACTACCAGATTATGGGACTTACGCCCCTTCGTGCTCTGCATATATGCCCATGAAGGGTTCACCGAGCACCACAACCTTCCGTGCAGAACGTGCCACAGTAGAAGGCACGACAATTCCGAGGGATCCCCGCAACAAACCAACTCTGCACTGTGAGGCCAGGCCGGCACCTCAACAGAACACTTTCCCGAGGGACAAGGCGACAGGAGAAACATTGCTGATTGATTCGACCACGACCGCCCCATGGCTCCAACCGTGTTGAACAGCCCAGGGTGCACTTCCGGATGCTTGGGAACTTGACCCATGCATGGTGCTGCGGATACGCCCAAGAAGGGTTCACCGAGCACCACAACCTTCCGTGAACAACGGGCCTCGGTAGAAGCAACGACAATTCCGAGGGATCCCCGCAACAAACCAACCCTGCACTGTGAGGCCAGGCCGGCACCTCGACAGAACACTTTTCCGAGGGACAAGGCGACAGGAGAAACATTGCTGATTGATTCGACCACGTCCGCCCCATGGCTCCAACCGTGTTGAACAGCCCAGGGTGCACTTCCGGATGATTGGGAACTTGACCCATGGTGCTGCGGCTACGCCCATGAAGGGTTCACCGAGCACCACAACCTTCCGTGCAGAACGGGCCACAGTAGAAGCCACGACAATTCCGAGGGATCCCCGCAACAAACCAACTCTGCACTGTGAGGCCAGGCCGGCACCTCAACAGAACACTTTCCCGAGGGACAAGGCGACAGGAGAAACATTGTTGATTGATTCGACCACGACCGCCCCATGGCTCCAACCGTGTTGAACCGCCCAGGGTGCACTTCCGGATGCTTGGGAACTTGACCCTTCGTGCCTGAAGATATTACCAAAACCATCCGTGCAGATCAGGCCACACATGAACACACGACAATTCCGAGGTATCCGCAACAACCCATCTCGGCACTGTGAGGCCAGGCAGGCACCTCAACAGCGCACACTTTTCCGAGGGACAGGCAACAGGGGACACGTTGCTGATGGCCTCAACCACAAACGCGCCATGGCCTCAACCATGTTCAACCGCCAAAAGTGCACTTCCGGATGCTTGGAAACTTGCCCCTTCGTGCTACGGCCATGCCCATTAGAGCAACACCTAGCGCCACATCCTTCCGTGCAGAACGGGTCACACGAGAAGCCTCGGCACGTCCGAGGGATGCCCACAACTACCCATCTCGGCACTGTGAGGCCAGGCCGGCACCTCAACAGAGCACACATTTCCGAGGGACGAGGCGACTGCAGAGACGATGCTGATGGCCTCAACCACTACCGCGCCATGGCCTCAACCATGTTCAACCGCCAAAAGTGCACTTCCGGATGCTTGGACACTTGCCCCTTCGTGCTACGGCTATGCCCATTAAGGCAACACCTAGCGCCACATCCTTCCGTGCAGAACGGTCCACACGAGAAGCCTCGGCACGTCCGAGGGATGCCCACAACTACCCATCTCGACACTGTGAGGCCGGGCCGGCACCTCAACAGAGCACACATTTCCGAGGGACGAGGCGACTGGAGAGACGTTGCTGATTGCTTCAACCTTGGCCTTGCCTCGGCTTCGACCGTGCTGAACCGCCCAGAGTGCACTTCCGGATGTTTGGGAACTTGCCCCTCAGTGCTACGGATATGCCACTGAAGGGAACGCGTAGACCCACATCCTTCCGTGCCGAACGGGTCACACTAGAAGCATCGGCGCGTCCAAGGGATGCGCACAACCACCCATCTCCGCACTGTGAGGCCAGGCCGGCACCTCAACAGAGAACACTTTTCCGAGGGACGAGGCGACTGGAGAGACGTTGCTGATTGCTTCAACCATGGCCTTGCCTTGGCTTCGACCGCGTTGAACCGCCCAGAGTGCACTTCCGGATGTTTGGGAACTTGCCCCTCAGTGCTACGGATATGCCACTGAAGGGAACGCGTAGACCCACATCCTTCCGTGCCGAACGGGTCACACTAGAAGCCTCGGCGCGTCCGAGGGATGCGCACAACTACCCATCTCGGCACTGTGAGGCCAGGCCGGCACCTCAACAGAGCACACTTTTCCGAGGGACGAGGCGACTGGAGAGACGTTGCTGATCGCGTCAAACACGGCCGCGCCTTGGCTTCGACCATGATGAACCGCCCATAGTGCACTTCCGGATGATTGGGAACTTGCCCCCTTCGTGCTAAGGATATGCCCGTGAAGGCTTCACCTAGCGCCACAACCTTCCGTGCGGAACGGGTCACACTGGATGCCTCGGCACGTCCGAGGGATGACCGCAACTACCCACTGTGATGCCAGACCGGCACCTCGACCAAAGGGACGAAGGCATCAAGATTTTTGACTTGGACCTTGAGGAACAAGCAAAGAACTTGCTGCACGCCAAATGTGTCATGGTGCCGGATAAGCTCACTACGAGATGCCCACATTTTTCCGTTGGACCAGCCAGAACCGGGACACGTACGACCTGGATTCGGCGTGGACTATTTTTGACTCGGTCGAATTTCCCACATGGCCATGGAAAAACGCACCAGCATGCTTGGGAAAGCTTGCTGGGGCGCTGGGAGGGAGCCCCATGGCACGCCATCCTGACCCACCAAGGTGCGTGGGCAGGCAGGCAGCTCCCCCCTATAGTAGGCTAATATGCAAAAACCCACTCTCCAGCACCGGACATCCTTTTTTCTGGGGAGACATACTCGGTTTTTCTGAGGCTACGGGTCGAATTTTGACCTGATTTTTTGCACAAGTGCTTATAGAAATGGGACATAGTGCTCCACAAAGTTTCACGATTTTTCTCCTAGCCGATATTATTTCATGATTTTTCCAGCCGGCGAGCATTTTATAATTCCAGAAAATTGGAAAATCAGTGTGGGACATGTTTCTGGAGCTCTTCTCTTTGCAAAGGCAACCATGGCTAAAACAATTCGAAGTTGCCTCCAAATTTGGTGCTTTTCATGAAAGGGGTCGGCTCTTCCTATCATTGTGAAGCAGAATTCACCAAGTGTTGGATTGTTCACCCACCAATAGGGACGTGAGCTGGGTTTAGACCGTCGTGAGACAGGTTAGTTTTTTTTACCCACTGATGACAGTTTCGCAATAGTAAGTCAACCTAGTACGAGAGGAACCGTTGATTCGCACAATTGGTCATCGCGCTTGGTTGAAAAGCCAGTGGCGCGAAGCTACCGTGCCGTGTGTTTTTGATTATGAATGAACGCCTCTAATCAGAATCCGGGCTAGACGTGCTTTGCCCGTCGCCCGTTTGCCGCCAGCATAGGGGCCTCGCCCCCCAAGGCACGTGCCGTTGGTGATCCCCGCGGGTGGACGATCCTCGCGGGACGCCTTGAGCGCTATTCCCCACTGGCGTGCGGTAAAAATCCTTTGCAGACGACTTAAATACCGACGGGATTGTAAGTGGCAGAGTGGCCTTGCTGCCACGATCCACTGAGATTCACCCTTGTCGCTTAGATCGTCCCTCCCATCTCAACACTTTCCCGAGCTTGCTCGTACAACCCAGGAGGGTTACATCCCGCACCTCGCATGGGCGACGAGGCGGCAGGTGCAAAGTCAGTGTTCCTTAAGCCCAAGGTAGAGACAATTCACTTACAATGTGGTGTGCGGCATCGCCTCTTTGCCATGCCCCATGGCGCGCTAGCATGTGCCCTGTGTTGGGTCATGGAGTGCGGTGGTTGGGTGCTTTGTGCATGGGGTGTGGTTCCTCGTGCGTGATCCCGAGTGCTAGGTGAAAGTGCGGGAATGACAAACGTGCTCGGAGGAAGTGAGGATTACACTGCTCGGTGACATTGAGGACATGACACATGTGTCCGAGTGCTAGGTGAAATTGAGGCCGTGACACACTTTCCTAATGCTAGCTGAAAGAGAGGCCATGATTGGACCTGCACGAGTGCCATTAGGGGTAATTGATGCCATGCGAAATGTGTCCCGAGTGGTCCTAGGTGAAATTGACCCAAGCCATGGCACATGTGTCCCGAGCGGTCCTAGGTGAAGGCGAAAGTGGCCCATGGGCATGTCCCGTGCCTCGTGTGAGTTTTTTTTGCTTCACTTGCATTCCCTATTTCGGTGAAAGCATGGTAAGGCGCCGACCCCTTCATGAAAATGGCACCAAATTTGGAGGCCAACTTCGAATTGTTTAGCCATGGTTGCCTGCAAAGAGAAGAGCTCCAGAAACATGTCCCACACTGATTTTCCAATTTTCTGGAATTATAAAATGCTCGCCGGCTGGAAAAATCATGAAATAATATCGGCTAGGAGAAAAATCGTGAAACTTTGTGGAGCACTATGTCCCATTTCTATAAGCACTTGTGCAAAAAATCAGGTCAAAATTCGACCCGTAGCCTCAGAAAAACCGAGTATGTCTCCCCAGAAAAAAGGATGTCCGGTGCTGGAGAGTGGGTTTTTGCATATTAGCCTACTATAGGGGGGAGCTGCCTGCCTGCCCACGCACCTTGGTGGGTCAGGATGGCGTGCCATGGGGCTCCCTCCCAGCGCCCCAGCAAGCTTTCCCAAGCATGCTGGTGCGTTTTTCCATGGCCATGTGGGAAATTCGACCGAGTCAAAAATAGTCCACGCCGAATCCAGGTCGTACGTGTCCCGGTTCTGGCTGGTCCAACGGAAAAATGTGGGCATCTCGTAGTGAGCTTATCCGGCACCATGACACATTTGGCGTGCAGCAAGTTCTTTGCTTGTTCCTCAAGGTCCAAGTCAAAAATCTTGATGCCTTCGTCCCTTTGGTCGAGGTGCCGGTCTGGCATCACAGTGGGTAGTTGCGGTCATCCCTCGGACGTGCCGAGGCATCCAGTGTGACCCGTTCCGCACGGAAGGTTGTGGCGCTAGGTGAAGCCTTCACGGGCATATCCTTAGCACGAAGGGGGCAAGTTCCCAATCATCCGGAAGTGCACTATGGGCGGTTCATCATGGTCGAAGCCAAGGCGCGGCCGTGTTTGACGCGATCAGCAACGTCTCTCCAGTCGCCTCGTCCCTCGGAAAAGTGTGCTCTGTTGAGGTGCCGGCCTGGCCTCACAGTGCCGAGATGGGTAGTTGTGCGCATCCCTCGGACGCGCCGAGGCTTCTAGTGTGACCCGTTCGGCACGGAAGGATGTGGGTCTACGCGTTCCCTTCAGTGGCATATCCGTAGCACTGAGGGGCAAGTTCCCAAACATCCGGAAGTGCACTCTGGGCGGTTCAACGCGGTCGAAGCCAAGGCAAGGCCATGGTTGAAGCAATCAGCAACGTCTCTCCAGTCGCCTCGTCCCTCGGAAAAGTGTTCTCTGTTGAGGTGCCGGCCTGGCCTCACAGTGCGGAGATGGGTGGTTGTGCGCATCCCTTGGACGCGCCGATGCTTCTAGTGTGACCCGTTCGGCACGGAAGGATGTGGGTCTACGCGTTCCCTTCAGTGGCATATCCGTAGCACTGAGGGGCAAGTTCCCAAACATCCGGAAGTGCACTCTGGGCGGTTCAGCACGGTCGAAGCCGAGGCAAGGCCAAGGTTGAAGCAATCAGCAACGTCTCTCCAGTCGCCTCGTCCCTCGGAAATGTGTGCTCTGTTGAGGTGCCGGCCCGGCCTCACAGTGTCGAGATGGGTAGTTGTGGGCATCCCTCGGACGTGCCGAGGCTTCTCGTGTGGACCGTTCTGCACGGAAGGATGTGGCGCTAGGTGTTGCCTTAATGGGCATAGCCGTAGCACGAAGGGGCAAGTGTCCAAGCATCCGGAAGTGCACTTTTGGCGGTTGAACATGGTTGAGGCCATGGCGCGGTAGTGGTTGAGGCCATCAGCATCGTCTCTGCAGTCGCCTCGTCCCTCGGAAATGTGTGCTCTGTTGAGGTGCCGGCCTGGCCTCACAGTGCCGAGATGGGTAGTTGTGGGCATCCCTCGGACGTGCCGAGGCTTCTCGTGTGACCCGTTCTGCACGGAAGGATGTGGCGCTAGGTGTTGCTCTAATGGGCATGGCCGTAGCACGAAGGGGCAAGTTTCCAAGCATCCGGAAGTGCACTTTTGGCGGTTGAACATGGTTGAGGCCATGGCGCGTTTGTGGTTGAGGCCATCAGCAACGTGTCCCCTGTTGCCTGTCCCTCGGAAAAGTGTGCGCTGTTGAGGTGCCTGCCTGGCCTCACAGTGCGAGAGGGTTGTTGCGGATACCTCGGAATTGTCGTGTGTTCATGTGTGGCCTGATCTGCACGGATGGTTTTGGTAATATCTTCAGGCACGAAGGGTCAAGTTCCCAAGCATCCGGAAGTGCACCCTGGGCGGTTCAACACGGTTGGAGCCATGGGGCGGTCGTGGTCGAATCAATCAAAATGTTTCTCTCCTGTCGCCTTGTCCCTCGGGAAAGTGTTCTGTTGAGGTGCCGGCCTGGCCTCACAGTGCAGAGTTGGTTTGTTGCGGGGATCCCTCGAATTGTCGTGGCTTCTACTGTGGCCCGTTCTGCACGGAAGGTTGTGGTGCTCGGTGAACCCTTCATGGGCGTAGCCGCAGCACCATGGGTCAAGTTCCCAATCATCCGGAAGTGCACCCTGGGCTGTTCAACACGGTTGGAGCCATGGGGCGGACGTGGTCGAATCAATCAGCAATGTTTCTCCTGTCGCCTTGTCCCTCGGAAAAGTGTTCTGTCGAGGTGCCGGCCTGGCCTCACAGTGCAGGGTTGGTTTGTTGCGGGGATCCCTCGGAATTGTCGTTGCTTCTTACCGAGGCCCGTTGTTCACGGAAGGTTGTGGTGCTCGGTGAACCCTTCTTGGGCGTATCCGCAGCACCATGCATGGGTCAAGTTCCCAAGCATCCGGAAGTGCACCCTGGGCTGTTCAACACGGTTGGAGCCATGGGGCGGTCGTGGTCGAATCAATCAGCAATGTTTCTCCTGTCGCCTTGTCCCTCGGGAAAGTGTTCTGTTGAGGTGCCGGCCTGGCCTCACAGTGCAGAGTTGGTTTGTTGCGGGGATCCCTCGGAATTGTCGTGCCTTCTACTGTGGCACGTTCTGCACGGAAGGTTGTGGTGCTCGGTGAACCCTTCATGGGCATATATGCAGAGCACGAAGGGGCGTAAGTCCCATAATCTGGTAGTGTGTTGTGGGTGGTTCCCATGGCGGAAGCGAGGGTCTTGATTGTGGCCTCTCAGTGCAGGTTTGGTTAAAGATAAGGGCATGTGACACTGTGTTGCTTGTTGGCTTGTGACTCTTAGAAGTGTGTTGGGGGGTCTGATCTGGCTCACCCTTCAGAGTTTAGGAATTCACGCAGTCCCTTATTCATGTGTTGCATCTGGAATCACTTGCCTCATCAAGATTGATATCTTGAATTTTTGGTTTTCCACTTTGCTCTTCGAGGGTTGTGGATCCGCAACTTGTGTGTGCGATTAGTCGAATTGGTGCAAAGTCCACGATACACACATAGTCCCTTATTCATGTGGTGCGTGGCCTAGCCTATGGCACACTCACCCAAGCCATGGCACGTGTGTCCGTCAGGGCATCATGGATTGTGCCGCACGTCGGTTGAAAATCATTTGAGGTAAATGCCTCGACCTTACATGGACGTAACTCTGGGAAATGTTTATGAATAATATTCCTGGAACTCCTGCAATAGAACAGCTCAAGAAACATGGTCCACACCCATTTTCTAATTTTCGGGAATGACATAAAGCTCGTCGGCTAGGAAAATCATGAAAAAGTATCGGCTCGGAGAAAAATCGTGAAACTTTGTGGACCACTTGCTCCCACTTTTTATAAGCACTTGTGCTAAAAATCAGGTCAAACTTCGACCCGTAGCCTCAAAAAAACCGAGTATGTCTCCCCAGAAAAAAGGATGTCCGGTGCTGGAGAGCGGGTTTTTGCATATTAGCCTACTATAGGGGGGAGCTGCCTGCCTGCCCACGCACCTTGGTGGGTCAGGATGGCGTGCCATGGGGCTCCCTCCCAGCGCCCCAGCAAGCTTTCCCAAGCATGCTGGTGCGTTTTTCCATGGCGATGTGGGAAATTCGACCGAGTCAAAAATAGTCCATGCCGAATCCAGGTCGTACGTGTCCCGGTTCTGGCTGGTCCAACGGAAAAATGTGGGCATCTCGTAGTGAGCTTATCCGGCACCATGACACATTTGGCGTGCAGCAAGTTCTTTGCTTGTTCCTCAAGGTCCAAGTCAAAAATCTTGATGCCTTCGTCCCTTTGGTCGAGGTGCCGGTCTGGCATCACAGTGGGTAGTTGCGGCCATCCCTCGGACGTGCCGAGGCATCCAGTGTGACCCGTTCCGCACGGAAGGTTGTGGCGCTAGGTGAAGCCTCCACGGGCATATCCTTAGCACGAAGGGGCAAGTTCCCAATCATCCGGAAGTGCACCATGGGCGGTTCATCATGGTTGATGCCAAGGTGCGGCCGTGTTTGACGCAACCAACAACGTCTCTCCTGTCGCCTTGTCCCTCGGAAAAGTGTGCTCTGTTGAGGTGCCGGCCTGGCCTCGCAGTGCCGAGATGGGTAGCTGTTGGCATCCCTCGGACGCGCCGAGGCTTCTAGTGTGACCCGTTCTGCACGGAAGGATGTGGGTCTACGCGTTCCCTTCAGTGGCAT